GAGCTAAATCCCAGGCCCCTGAAAATTCATTTCTCCTCCCCATCCTGAACCAGGGATCAAAATTTTGTTTCAAAAATAACTTAAATGAACCTGATTATTCATATATATATATGACATATTTTTGACATATTTTTAATGAATGGAAGAAAAAAACAATGGAAAACAGGCTCTTCACAGTGGAAACTGAGGGGGAGAAGGTAAGTATTCCTCAGGATATAATTTTAAAGTAAATAGCACATAAGAGTACAAATAAAATAATATATATAGTTCAACCCTTACATGTCAAATACTTGATTTTCCTATAATCCAAAAGCTAGTTTCAAACTAAAGAGTGAAGAATGCTAAGAGATGATTTAACTAATCTCCAATATTACACTATAACCCTGATCCTGAACTGCTGCCTCTGTCCCTTCTTATACTTCACCTACTATCCAGATTCTCTAGGTTGGTTTTGTGTTGGTTTGGGTTGGTTGTTGTTTGTTTTGTTTTGTTTTGGTACCAGGGATCAAACTCGGGTCCTTGCACTTGCAAGGAATGTGGCAGAACCCCTGAGCTAAATCCCCGGCCCCATTTTTGTTTTGTTTTTGAGACATGATCTCACTGTGTAGCCCAGACTGCCCTCTAACTCACAGCTATTCATCCCCCTGCCTCAGTCTCCCAGGTGCTAGGATTACAGTGTACACCATGAGGCCCGGCTCACTGATTCTCTACATTTCTGACCCTAATGATTCAGTTTCCTGTTTCAGCCTTGCCTCACTTTACCCTCAGGCCTTTTACTTCCTACCTTACTTCATATTTTATTAGTACACGTGGAGAGTCGGTACATGTACATAACCATCTTAATCCTTTTTACTTCTCCTTCCTCCTCACTCCCTTCTTCCCTATCTTGCTTATTATTTTACTCCATTCTTAAGTTATTTTACCTACAGACCCCTGAGTAAACAAGCTTCCTACCACCTGGATGCTCAGCACACATGCTCCCACCTTAGGAAAGTTCCCTGTCAGGCTTACTCTAGTTTCATAAATGTGATGCAGAGACTCAAAAGAAGCATGTTAGTTGGCTCATCTTGAGCGTGTTAAATGGAACTCTCCAAAGGTGATCATATAAGGGGAATAATAATAAATCAAGGTCCAAACCCAATTGGAGGAGATGATCAACAAATACGCAAAATAAACCAGAAAAATATCAGATAGTGATAAGTGATAGAAAAAAGAATAAGATAATGAGACAAAATATATATGGCTACTTCAGGGTCACTGGTCAGAGGAAGGCCTCTTCTTCTGAAGAAGGTAATTACATTTAAAAGCAGGTATCTCGGGATTTACCTCAGTGGCACCGCATGTGTCTTGCAAGCCCAAAATCCTGAGTTCCATCCCTGGTACTGAAAAAAAAAAAAAAAACAACGCCGGTGTCTCAATAAACATCAGCCTTTCAAAAACCGAAGAAAGGCCAGGTGTGGTGGCACATGCCTGTGAGCCTAGCACTTGGGAGGGTGAGGCAGGAGGATTACCATGAGCTCAAAGCCAGCCTGAACTACATAGCAAGATCCTGTCTCAAACAAACAAAAAACCTAAAAGAAAGACCAACCACAGTGTCACATGCATATAATTTCAGCCACTCAGGAGGTTGAAGAAGGAGGATCAACAGTTCGTGGCTATCCTAAAAAATTTATGATACCCTGTCTCAAAATAAAAGTAAAAGGGAGATGGGCACGGTGACACACGCCTATAATCCCAGCACTCTGGAGGCTGAAGCAGGACAATTACCAGTTCAAGGCCAGCCTGGGCAACAGAGTAAGTAGAGGACCAGCCTGAACTACAAAGGGAGACGCTATCTCAAAAAACCAAAAAATAAGTAATTTAATTAATTAATTAATTAATTAAAGGGCTAGAGAAGTAGCACAGTGGTAGAACACTTGCCTAGCATGTGTGAGTGAGGCTCTGGGTTAGACAGGGACACAGACAAGCACGCTAAGTATAATAACGTGCAAGAGCTCAATGGAAGTATCACTGAAATATTTTTAAGCAGAGGAATGACATCATGATCATCCTCATATTTTATAAAGCCCACTCTGAGCCGGGCGTGGTGGCAGGAGGATTGCTGAGAGTTTGAGACCCAGCCTAGGCTACAGAGTGAGTTCCAGGGTAGTCTGAATTGCATAGCAAGACCCTGTCTGGCTGCAGTGTAGAAATGGAATGGAGGTAAGGTGGGATAAAGACTGGAGGCAGAGATAAGAGTGAGTTATAGAGACTAAGATGAAGAAAATAACATTTCACACAGTACATAGCAGGTGCCAATCTATTCTTCTGGGCATTTTATATCTATTAATTTATTTAACCCTCAAAAATATTCATAATTTCAAAAAATAATCATATTTTCTAAATTAGGAAACTAAGATATAAGGTCGCATTAATGAAGACAGAAAGTGATTAGACTCAAGAAATACTGAGGAGGTTTCGCCTGCCTTGCAAGCACAAGGTCCTGAGTTTGATCCCTGGAACAAAAAAAAAAAAAAAAAAAAGAGGGGAATCACAAGTCCAAGTGACTAACTGGTTGTCCGATATGGAGAGGGAAGTACTTCTAATCAGTATTATGTTCTGAGTTTTAGTCACTACATACTGTTTACAATGTATACAATAAGACACAGGACAAAGCAAGAGACTCTTATGCCAAGAATGCAAAATATCCCAGCAGGTTTGACCATCTATGCAGTTGGATATTCTCACCTGAAGAAAGATTTGGGCTGAGTATGTGGGAATCATCCATGTTTATATAGCAGATAACTGAAGCTGTTAATAAGTTCAGATCTCCCAGGGAATTATGAGGAAAAGAATAAGAGGATGGGCCAGAGGTTTAGCTCAGTGGTGCCACAGCCTGCCTCACAAGTACAAGGTCCTGAGTTTCAATCCCTGGTACCAAAAAGAAACACAACAAAGAATAAGGGGTGCGGCCTCAACATTCAAGATACAAAAAGAATCAATCATTTATAGCTGTAGTCCAGTGACAGAGCACTTGCCCAGCAAGCATGAAGCCCTGGGTTCAATCCCTAGAACTGAAAAAAAATTTTTTTAATTATTTATAATGACAAAAAACTAGGAAGATCTTAATGTTTCTAAACAGGAAAACAGCTAACTAAAACACAGAACTAGCCATTCTGTGAGATACTATACAGCAGCCCAAAAGAATGAGATGCATCTTTACGCACTAACACAGAAAGCTGTCAAGGCACATCTTTTTCTCCCCAGAACTGGGGAATCCAACTCAATGCCTTCACACTAAACTACATCCCCAGTCCTTATTTTTTATTTTGAGTCAGAGTATGCTGGGATTTCAGGTATACACCACCATGTCCAGCTGTCAAGGCACTTTTTTGCTGTTGTTGTTTTGTGATAAGGACTAGCTATGTAATTCAGTCTGGTCTTGAATTCACTATGTAACCCAGGCTTGCCTCAAATTTGAGGCAATTCTCCTGCCTCAGCCTCCCAAGTGCTGGGATTACAGGCCTGCACCACTACACCCCACAGGCTCATTCTTGAAGCAAAGTACCAGAACAACAAATAAAATGTAATACCATTTATGTAAGACAAAAATAGTACTTCAAATTTTTTATGGGTTCATAGTATATGTAAACACACAGGGAAAAAAAAAGCCTAGAATGTACAACCCAAACCATGCTACCTCTAGGGAATATAGAAATAACTGAAGTGGAGTGGGGATAGTAGTGCTCAAAATATTTAGTCTTTTGATTATTTTAAAGTTTATTTATTGGAGCCAGGAATTTTGCTCAGTGGCGCCACACCTGCCTGGCAAGCGTAAGGTCCTGAGTTCAACTCCCAATATATAAAAAAAAGTAAATAAACAGATAAAGCTTATTTACTATACTCTCTGTAAATTACATTTCCGTGTGTGTGTTTGTGTGTGTGTGTGTGTGTGTGTCTCGGATTTTTTATTTTTATGGTGTTGAAGATCAATCCAGGGCCTCTCATGTGCTAGGCAACTACTCTACCACTGAGCTACATCCCCAGCCCCTAAAAGTAATTACACTTTTAAAAAATTCTTTGTAAATTAAAAAGTATGAGCCAGGTATGGTGATGGGTGCCTGTAATCCTAGCACTCAAGAGGCTAAGGCAGGAGGATTACCATGAGTTTGAGGCCAGCCTAGACTACACAGTGAGGCCTGCCTTAAAAAAAAAGAGAGAGAAAAAAAAATTTAAAAAGGATTAAGAAGCAGCCTACAAAGGCACCTTTTGTTTCAGGTACTAAACTTTCCCTGTCTCCCTCCCACCTACCACTGACCTTGATATTCACATCCAGCTTGCCATTTGCCAACATCTGAAAATGTTAATACCAACCCTCTTAATTCCACACTCTGTTCTGAATCCTTGGCTGCAGAACTACCAACACCCCCATCCCCCAACTGAGGTCACAGCCCAAAAGAAGGTCAGATACCACAAGTCATAAACACAAGAGAAATGGGTACAGATGCCAGCTTCCAGGAAAAAGATCAGCCAGCAAAACTCTCAAAGGGGAAAAGGTATCTGAAGGTCTAAAAGCAGCTCTAGAGTACCAGGAAATGTGTCTGGGAGACAGGCAAAGATTTCATGGAGGAGCAGTACAGAGCAAACTGAAGGACAAGATAGTTCCATTTGTAAAACTTCCACATTAAGTTGGAATTTGGTGAAAACCAGGTTTATGGCAAAGAGAATGGCTGCTTTTTGTGAAGAGCCTAGCTGAGGAGGATGGTACCTAGAGGAAACACGAGTTGCTTCACCAAGCATTAATCCTAGGAGACACATCATAAAGGTTTAGTAGCTACAGCAGCATCAGGAGACTACACACTTAAATAAAAGGAAATAAATAAATCTACAAATGAGGCAAGAAGCTGAGATGCAGCCTCTTTCTTTAGCAAGCCCAGGTCGGCTCTCTGGTTAACTATGTTCTTAACTTTAAACTTTAGATGGAGGAAACACAATGTCTTTGGTCATGTTTTCCTGGTTACCTGAAGAAATGATACTGCCCAGGCCTTACACAATAGTTGATTCACCATCAATTAGTCTGTATCACAGCATGCTGAGCCTCACACAGGCATATACCAGACAGCCCTGAAAAGCAAAAGGAAAAAAAACAACAACCATTGAGTTTGAGCTGCCAAAGTCCTTTTCAGTAGCCGACCTCGCCCTCTGGGTAGGTTTCATGTCAAAACTGAAAGGACTGAAGGGCTGGGGAAATCCAAAGATCAACAGAACCAGGAACAGGTGGTTCCCATCAGAAAAGGGTCCCAGGTTAGAACTCAAAACAGAAACCAGACCACTGATAAGGCATGGTTTACGATGTCTGTCTCCAAGCCTTCAGATGCCATTTATATGTTTTCCAAAGTTTACAACAGGGCATGACAGCACTTATCCTACTATCCTACTCCTAACTATATATACATATATATATATATACATTTTTTTTTCAGCTTTAATTGAGTTTATTGGTACATTTTAGGGATACAGTACAGTTACATTCATTGTTGGGATCATGTACCTCTACATGGTAAGTCTTGATTCTCATTTTTTCCCCTTACCTCTCTGCCCTCCCTTCACCCTCTCCTCCCCTCCCCATCTACAAACACTTTATTTCCATCTTTTCATTCTCTCACATTTTTTTCTTTTCCCTTTTACTCTTCCCCTACCCATCCCACCTTCCCTACACCTTTAGCTCCTTTCTTCCCATTTCTAAATGTCAGTAATCTTATTATAATTTTATGCATTGTTGCAGATTATTCACACCAGGGACACTTTTCGGTACTTACACGTGTGACTTATTTATTTCACTTAGGAGTATATCTTCAATATGTATCCATTTTCCTATGAATGAATCTATTCTCTCGTTCTTTATGGCTGAGTAATATTCCATTTTATAGAAAAACCACAACTTCTTTATCCAGTTTCCAACGGATGGGCAAATAGGCTGTTTCCAAGATTTAGCTATTACAAACTGTGCCGCTATAAACATGGGTGCACATACTTCTCTGTGATATGATTCTTTTAGTTCTCTTGGAAAGATACCCAGCAGAGGGATGGCTGGGTCAAATGG